ATTTCTGAACTTGCCTGAGAATTTATATTTGTAGGATCCCATCAGAACTCTCCCTAAGATTGTTGAAATATAATGTATAATATTATAGAAGGCTTGGAAAGTTCAGGTTCCCATTACTTGGGCACCATTGTCTTTCAACGAGCATAGTGATGTCCAACTTTGGCCACTTGAAGACTTGTGGACTTTAACTCCCAGAATTCCACAGCCAGCATGAAGTTCACCGATCTTAAAATTGCCAAGGTTGGATATCCTTTCTCTGAGAGGAAGGGATGTTGCCCTTATTATAAATAGAGAGAGAGATTACTTCCTGAAATTTTATAAAAAATATATTTGAATCAGGAACATCTTTCTTGAGCCAGGAATATGTAATTCATTTAATAAATGAGTGGGACTGAAATTATAAGTCATTGCTTCAGACATGAAATTCCTATTTTTCAGTGTTGCTTTTACTTACTTGTTGACAAAGAACAGCAATTCAAAGATGCTGTGATGTTCTCTACAGCAAATTGTGTATCCAAGTTCCACTTATATTTTCCAGGGTAAAATCTTGGCAGGAAAAACGAACTCTTTCAGCATTAAATTAAAGATTATCCTCAACTGATATCACATTTTTTTTTGCAAGTAATAACCCTGTAAAACCGGAATGTTTAAATAGTTTGGCAGTTTGAAAGTCCAGAAAAGATCATACATCTGGTTTTGATTGTAGTAAGTTTGTGGCAGTGATAGTAAATACCTTTGAAACCATGTTAACTGCCAATAGTGACGTCAATGTTTAAACTTTAGTAATATACTTGGTAATCAGTTTCATGTACTTCAGAAGCTTCTACTTCCTATAGATATATAGGCTGTAGGCTAAATCTCTATGGAAGCCAAAATAAAATTTTGAAGGTACATATATGGAAATGGATCAAGTAAACATTACTCTATGAAACTCTCACTGCTTTCCACATAAACAATTTCAAATAAACTGTTTTTTCATAGAATACATCATTGGTTTGACAAAAATTGGGGCTTTGTTTAATAAAAGTCTTGAGTACAAGTGAATGTTGGAACACAAAGAACTATGGGAAGATTTAAACATGCCCAAATATATGTATAAGGCACTGGCCTCCTAGGCCAGGGATTGTGGGTTCGACTACCATCTGGTACTTCTGCCATTAACCCAAGAAAACAGTACGTGAACAGAAAATATATATAGTGCTAGATGATGGGCATCACAGGGTGGATGATACTCAAAATGCTACTCAAGAAGTTCTGAGGATCTTTTCGAGTAGTAATGGTGGTTGATGATGTGGCTAGATCAAAGCAGTATTAGAACAACATCTAACAACAGTGAAGATGGAAACATGCATGGAAAAACAAGGTAAGTGTTCCCAAAGAAATCTCTGGCCTCAAATTGGTATAACGAAGGGTACCAATGGACAGATATGAACCAGGTCAAAGAAGATCAAACAAAGCTGGAAATAATTTACAGTAGAGTAATGAACACCCAAAGGACTTTGAGAAATATTTATAGGAACCTCTAGTGCTGGAAGATAAAATTAGATCAGCACTCTGGTCATTAGGCCAGAAGGTTAGAGGATGGAATACCATGCTAAAATATGGTAAGACACACACACAAAATCAATCAAGTTTGGGAATTTGTCAGATCAAAATACAGTGCTTAATTTTTTAAAAAGTAAATAAAGCAGAATGCATTTATTTTGATCTCTCAATCCAGGGGTGTTGTGGGCCATATCGGGGTGGTTTTTACTCTTGTCAAAAGTTTGACATGCCTTTCCTAATCCATACTGGGGCTGTGGAAGAAAAAAAAGTGATTCTTTTCTTATCAAAAGAAAAGAAAATAACAATAGAAAATATGTTAAAGTAGCAAATATGTTAAAAGTAGGTTATCAAAACTGCTGAAATATATATATATCTTTCTTGACAAAATTCACATCCTAGGCATTATATCCATACTGTAGTTTTAGGCCAAACTAACATACATATGAGATTAAATACTGACATATTATATTGTAGAAAAAGAACTTAAGGTTATCAAGCTCCCAAATTCAAGTAGCCTCTTAAAATGGAAAGATAATTTCAAAGAGATGATATCAATAAGTGGATAAGAAAAATTATTGAAGTTATACAGTTGTACTATTATACAGAAATTGGTTATAGTTAATATTCAATATAACAGTAATAAAAGATAAACCATACCAAATAGAGAATATTGAGTTATTTTAACTATATAAAAAGTATAAACCTTTGTGCTGAAATCTCCACAATATTATTATTAAATAATATAATGTAATAAATAAATAATAAAGGAAGAAAAGGAAGAAAAACAGTAACTATTTTTAGTAAGTAACTTTTCCCCTCAATAGATTTATAATATTTTAATATAACTTTAGTAACATACTCTTAACTGTTTTGTTTTCCTTGCTGTATGATATACAGTATACATAGAAACCATTCTTGCTTAAAGTTAGCTAAATATCTATTATGTATATGTATATACTGTCAGATTTGTCATTGTTACAGCTATATTATATTTTGTACAGTAACTGCCTAGAGCAGAGGTGTCAAACTCGATTTTATTGAGGACCACATCAAGATTGTGTTTGACTTTGAGGGGCGGGGGGACATGGTTAGGGAGAATAGGCAGCTCAACATTACTCTTTCTTTAATTAAAATATTTTTTTTAATCTTTAGACAGACAAAATATAAAACATAAAACCATCTTCCATTACCGACAGTGGGTCAATTGGTTACAAGGTTTTTGTACATCCTTTCCATAGTCATCACTTTTATATAAATCACATAATATCAAATTGAATATGTTTGTATACACCATTACCATTATACCTCATTTGTTTGACTATCACTATTATTCCCTTCATTTTAAATGAGATATACTAAATATTGGGTTCATTTATATTATAACAGTTCATTACATCATCTTCAATCTATCCATAATAGATCCAATCTACCCATAATAATATATCTTTATGTTATATTCCGTATCATTCTATTATTCTTGTATTGATAACATTCTCTAGTATCTTTCATTTCTATGTTTTTTTTTTAATCTAACCATTGATAAAATAAATCCCATGTCTTATAAAGTTGTTTATCTTCTTGTTCTCTAATTTCAAATGTCAATTTACTCATTTCAACATTACTCATTGAGGCTCTGTTTTAGGCTGCTATGGCCTCCTGGAGCTCTCTGCAAGTGAAAACGGAGCCCAGGGAGGCCATCACACAGGGTTTCAAAAATTGTTTGAACCTACTCTGTGGGTGTGGCCTCCTTTGTGGGAGTGGCTTGTTGCCCAT